GAAGTAGGGTCAGCAGAATAACTGGCTATAAATAGCTGCTGTCATATAAATAATCACACATGTATATTGGCCCAATCTATAAGCCTGTTACAACATATTACAAGGACCTGCGATTTCACCAGGGTCAATACCCGTTTGACCCCTACCCTCAAAGCCTTTTGAGATAAAGGTGTTTACTGGTATTGGCCATGAGTGACTCTACCTGAGTCCATACTACACAGCTGGCCATTGATTGGCTAGACAATATCAATATTGACCCAGGTAAGCCCCAAGGTTATATCATCAAAGGATTACATCATGGACTGCTTTGTAAAGCACTGTCAGCTTAATTGTTATAGATCCTTTCATCATAAGAACATAATTAGCGAAAACTCACAAATGTGTGTTTCTGGTTTCCAAACCAACACTGTGATTTGCAATTTTCTTTTTTAATATATTTTGAAAATTTCGTAATATCAAACCAAATGAAAAAATTGACATAACTTACTTACAAATAAAATTCAATGAATAACATGAAGCCATCAAAGAAAGCCTAATTAGCTCAGCTTGAACAGATGAGCTAAATTATCAGAAAATCAAAGGATGTCATCTTTACATTTCCTCAGAAACAATGTTCTGCATATCAATCTGCAAGTGATTTCAGTCTTTAATTATATTAAATTTTAAGATGTCCTAAATAAAAAGTTTTCATTAAAATTACTATCAAACTAACCAATACAGTTTTATACCCCTGCAGGGTCAAGATCATTAGATTTTCCTAGGTATTGCTGATTTAACTGTAGCTTCCTATCAACAGGACTCCTTTCAATAATGAAATGAAAAATGACAGTATCAGTGACTTAACTGTTAAAATCAAATAAAAGGCCTAGCTAAACTAATCACAACAACAAGAGTAAACAACTAGGCAGGCCCTTTGTAAGTTCTAAACACAAAACCTGTAACCAAGATAAATGTGTACCATAAGATTTATACAAAAGTACATCTACCATTTAATTTGATGTGAACAATTAAATCTGCTATTTAATTTGATGTAAACAATTTAATGCACCCTTTAATTTGATGTAAACAATTAAATCTACCATATAATTTGATGTAAATAATCAAGCGTACCATTTCATTGATGTAAACAACTAAATAAACGATTTAATTCCATGTAAACAAGTAAATATACCATTCAATTGGATACAAACAAATCAATGTACTATCTGGTTTGTTGTAAAGAAAACATCATTTTATGTGCCATAATCAAATTAATCTACTGTTTGATTTAAAAGAAAAATAACTCCAGAGTACAATTTAATTAAAAGTAAGCAAACTTATTTATAACTAACATAATTAAACCAATATACAATTAATACAGCACTTACACACTTAACACTACCAATCGTTGACAAAAGAATGTTTATATATTGACTGTCTCTAGAATTTTAAACTTTCAAATAACTACTTAATAAAGGATGGAGCATCAACACCAAGGCATAGCTTAGGTTAAAATTATGGTTCAGTTGTGACGTAATAACGCATTATCTTGATCACCTGTTGATAACAATGCAGATCATTATGCTATACAAAGTAAAAGGAACAAAGATATCTATATATTATATCCATACAAATATGGTACAGCGATGCTGTTAATAGATTGAAGTGTTCAGTTACAATGTTCATATGTTGGTTGTAAATTTTTTTAAAGGTATTATTGATGCATTGAGACCAGCTAGGCTAGCAATCATTGGGAGGCAATGTCAATAAATGTTTATGATGAAATGTAAATGTGGGTTAAAAAACAGTTCAAATTTACAGGATTCTTCTACCGATACATCTACCAACTAGTACCACTCACAGGACGTTGGACTCCTCCACCTCTTTTTATTTTTCAAATAACTAATAAAGTGTACGTGTACTGTTCCATTTTTGACATGGTAGCATAATCCCAAGATCACTCTTTTCCTTTCATACATAAATATACAGATATTTGTTATGTATGATAGAAGTAATAGTGACAGTGCTAACCATTAAATTGTCAAATTTTTTAGACAATCTGGCCATTTGGCAAGAGCAGTGCATACATTTGTTTGAAAATGTTAGTTATTGTACTTAATAGTAACAGGTTGAAAACCTTTTAAGAAATATTTTGTAAAACATAACTTGAGACTAAAATCACTGTATAGTGTAAATATTTCTTAACTGACAAACCACTAAAAAAAATGCTGAGAGAATTTGATTTTAATTGAAAATTTTGTAAGTTATGACAACGTAAAGAATCACTTTTCATTTTGTACGAAGTGGAGACATTTCACACTATATTGGGAAGTATTGACAGGTAAAGGGAGATGTGAATACCGATTCTTTTCTACTAAAGGCAACTGAAGGAAACATTGTCAATTTACCTGAAGTTGTCCATATGATTGGGTATATAAGGATTGATGTTTCTGTAGCAGTTACTCGAAATTCAAAAAGTATAATGAAAGTACTGGTAAGGACATGGTCAACACCTACCCTTCGATACTGAAGGCGCTGGACAGGACATGATCAACACCTAATCTTTTATACTGAAGGCACTGGGCAGGACATGATCAACACCTACCCTTTGATACTGTAGGCACTGGTCAGGACATGATCAACACCTACCCTCTGATACTGAAGGCACTGGACAGGACATGATCAACACCTAATCTTTTATACTGAAGGCACTGGGCAGGACATGATCAACACCTACCCTTTGATACTGAAGGCACTGGTCAGGACATGATCAACACCTACCCTCTGATACTGAAGGCACTGGACAGGACATGATCAACACCTACCCTCTGATACTGAAGGCACTGGACAGGACATGATCAACACCTAATCTTTTATACTGAAGGCACTGGACAGGACATGATCAACACCTAATCTTTTATACTGAAGGCACTGGGCAGGACATGATCAACACCAACCCTTTGATACTGTAGGCACTGGTCAGGACATGATCAACACCTACCCTCTGATACTGAAGGCACTGGACAGGACATGATCAACACCTAATCTTTTATACTGAAGGCACTGGACAGGACATGATCAACACCTAATCTTTTATACTGAAGGCACTGGGCAGGACATGATCAACACCTACCCTTTGATACTGTAGGCACTGGTCAGGACATGATCAACACCTACCCTCTGATACTGAAGGCACTGGACAGGACATGATCAACACCTAATCTTTTATACTGAAGGCACTGGGCAGGACATGATCAACACCTACCCTTTGATACTGTAGGCACTGGACAGGACAGGATCAACACCTACCCTTTTATAATGAAGGCACTGGACAGGACATGATCAACACCTACCCTTTGATACTGTAGGCACTGGTCAGGACATGATCAACACCTACCCTCTGATACTGAAGGCACTGGACAGGACATGATCAACACCTAATCTTTTATACTGAAGGCACTGGGCAGGACATGATCAACACCTACCCTCTGATACTGAAGGCACTGGACAGGACATGATCACACACCCTTTTATACTGAAGGCCTTTTATAACTGAAGGCACTGGACAGGACATGATCAACACCTACCCTCTGATACTGAAGGCACAACATGATCAACACCTACCCTTTGATACTGAAGGCACTGGACAGGACAGGATCAACACCTACCCTTTTATAATGAAGGCACTGGACAGGACATGATCAACACCTACCCTCTGATACTGAAGGCACAACATGATCAACCCCTACCCTTTTATACTGAAGGCACTGGACAGGACAGGATCAACACCTACCCTTTTATACCGAAGGCACTGGGCAGGACATGGTCAACACCTATCCTTTGTTACTGAAGGCACTGGTAAGGATATGATCAACACCTACCCTCTGATACTGAAGGCACTGGACAGGACTTGGTCAACACCTACCCTTTGATACTGAAGGCACTGGACAGGACATGGTCAACACCTACCCTTTGATACTGAAGGCACTGGTCAGGACATGATCAACACCTACCCTCTGATACTGAAGGCGCTGGACAGGACATGATCAACACCTAATCTTTTATACTGAAGGCACTGGGCAGGACATGATCAACACCTACCCTCTGATACTGAAGGCACAACATGATCAACCCCTACCCTTTTATACTGAAGGCACTGGACAGGACAGGATCAACACCTACCCTTTTATACCCGAAGGCACTGGGCAGGACATGGTCAACACCTACCCTTTGTTACTGAAGGCACTGGGAAGGACTTGATCAACACCTACCCTTTGATACTGAAGGCACTGGACAGGACAGGATCAACACCTACCCTTTTATAATGAAGGCACTGGACAGGACATGATCAACACCTACCCTCTGATACTGAAGGCACAACATGATCAACCCCTACCCTTTTATACTGAAGGCACTGGACAGGACAGGATCAACACCTACCCTTTCATACCGAAGGCACTGGGCAGGACATGGTCAACACATATCCTTTGTTACTGAAGGCACTGGTAAGGATATGATCAACACCTACCCTTTGATACTGAAGGCACTGGACAGGACATGGTCAACACCTACCCTTTGATACTGAAGGCACTGGACAGGACATGGTCAACACCTACCCTCTGATACTGAAGGCACTGGTCAGGACATGATCAACACCTACCCTCTGATACTGAAGGCGCTGGACAGGACATGATCAACACCTAATCTTTTATACTGAAGGCACTGGGCAGGACATGATACTGAAGGCACACCTACAACCCCTACCCTTTTATACTGAAGGCACTGGACAGGACAGGATCAACACCTACCCTTTTATACTGAAGGCACAACATGATCAACCCCTACCCTTTTATACTGAAGGCACTGGACAGGACAGGATCAACACCTACCCTTTTATACCGAAGGCACTGGGCAGGACATGGTCAACACCTACCCTTTGTTACTGAAGGCACTGGGAAGGACTTGATCAACACCTACCCTTTGATACTGAAGGCACTGGACAGGACATGGTCAACACCTACCCTTTGATACTGAAGGCACTGGCTAGGATATGCTGAAGCATCTCATAAGAAGTAATCTGTGGGTCCAGGGAGAATTTCTTGTACTCCGGCTGAATGAAGCCCTCACATTTCTGCAAACAGAAACAGAAACTATCGTCAAATTACACAATATTGTAACATAATATAAGCGTGCCTGTTCTGGACAAGACTAACATCATCCATTTATACACAACGCTGGCAGTGTCAGCCTCAGCTGTAAGTTTAAATACTGGAAACTAATTGACAAATTTTAACATACACTTATGTATCAATTATGGTCAGAAAAACCAGCTTTAGAATGTCCTATAAGTTTCATGACTAAACCTTAACATACTTCAGAATCTGCTTAACTCCTGGACACAGGAACATAAATATTAATAAATTATATTTTATATTTTTTTTTAATTTAATACTTAATATTTTCATTTATTTTATAATTATATTACTACACTAACACACTTTTCTAGAGATGTAAACTAGCAAACTGTATATGTGATAGAATTACACCAGTGGATGATTCAAACTAACATGGTATCATTTTTAAAACAATTGGAAAGATATTTGAGATATTATAGTTAAATCATATGCATGGTGAAGTCACTGATATAGGTTTCCAAAATGAATCCTTCCTTCAAGTGAAAAAATGTTGAGAGTATATGCATCCATCCATCTCTCCATAGAGTCACCCAGGCAGAGAGGGCTGACATTAACAAAACCTGATTTATTGTTATGGTAAGGACATGATCAGATTAACAAGTATACAGATCTATAACACTGAAATGCCATAACGCATGCATGACTCCCTACCTCACACAGATATATGTACATATATTTCTCCTGTTCTGATTGTTACATGCAGTTTTATTTCTGTGTATATATCTAGTCCAAATTTACTTGTCGTTTTAGTGAAGCTTCCACAGTACTACATCAGTTTACTTTTTAGAATGGAAAACATGTCAATTTCTCTATGTGACAGCTGGCTTTAAAACCAGACCTTCTGCATAAATCCCAACGAAATATGTTGTAGACAGATACATATGTTTACATGATGTACCACATACAAACTTCAAAAACATTGTAAATTATAGAGGTCAATGCAAAACAAAAGGGGCCCTGGCTTTAATAGTCATCTGACTACGAAAAATTTCAGCAGGGAGAAGGGTTAATTTTTCTACTTTGAATGAAATCTTACTAAGAAGCTGTTTTCCATGATGCAGTTTTAGTGAGAAGTAGGTAACTGTAACAAGTGTTATCTATTTTTTGACAGTAAAGTTGGGGCTCAATCCAAGTTTGAAATTGGTGTTACATAGGAAAACCATGATTGCGCAACCATGTTACAAATTGACCTGCCAGGCTACTATATCAGAGATTTGACAAGGTCAAAAAATAACAACACTTTGTTGGCTACCTTTCCTTAACATTCCCACCAGTTTTCAATTCAATGGCACCAGTTGAACTGGAGAAGAAGTTTAAAATATTTTTTTTCAAAATGGCGGCCATGGTGGCCATTCTGGATTTCAGACCAACCTGAAAAATAATAACACATGGTCAGGACCATTACAGACAATTAGAGCTCAATCCCAGTGGTGAAACTTTAGATGATGTTTAAAATGTCAAAAGTTTACACATGACGGATGGCGGATAAAGGACGAAACACAATGGCTATTGGGTTATATCATGACCCTTCACATCAGATGACCTAATTAAAAGACTGAAAACAGTAAAATGGTCAAGGCCAATTCTATCATAAACTTCTACTTAACAATGAGCGAAGGGCAATAATTCTAAATAAATACAATACACAATTATGTCAGACCTCATTTCAGAATTACAATTTAGGCTCTGTCATCACTATCAGTGCATGAATCTAAAATTATTATGTGATTACTAAAATTATACACCAATTTAAAGTGTATTTATATACACATATACAGGGTCATGCTTACATAGTCAGGATCATATAAATTCTGACACAGATTGAACAAAGGGCATTAATTGCATATTGATGAATTTGATATCTCATCACAAGAACCACTTGCAAAATATCAAATCACCTCCCACAAGAATTCATCTCCAGAATTTGATAGCCAAGTAGAGGATATGTATAGGGGCCTTAAATAGCTCAGTCATTTGTAGCATTGGCCTATGTAACCCAATGAAGATCCGAGGTGAGGTTAGTTGTTCAATATCCATGGTGGTTTGTGATTCTCAACATTGGTCTGTGTTTATTCGGTTGTGTCCTTAGGCAAGGTACATTATTCTAATTGCTCTACATGGACAGGCTTCCATATAGCCAACAACTACTACAAGGAGACCCTATTGCAAAATTATTATTGGCTGTTTATAGGGCATTAAGCCAAACAAACAACCAAAAAATTGCCTATAACGACCACAAAGCCAAAACATACTCAAGCTTCTCTGAACTTTAGAGAATCGGCAGTTCCATCTGTGAAGGTTCGGACATGTATTGGAATTTGGTTTTGGTGTTAAGATATGCCCATCTTTATTGATTAATTAAGAATCCCATATAAAGCCTGAGTTTCCATTTAATGCAGATCACACCACTACACACAATGTCAGTAAACTAAATTTTTTTTTATCCTCAACACATAGCATTTTACAGTGTGTGCACAATTAGCTGTTCCATAACCCCGAAGATCAGCGTATGCATTTACGAAGGAAGATGATCATGTTCAGTAAAAATCATGATCACATATTTGATAAAAAGTGTTTTCAACTAAAGTAAAGGACAGATCAAATGTTTATCTTATTCCAATTTTCAGTTGCAAAATTGCGTTCCAGATTCTTACTTGGTTTCTAATGCCTTATAATTACTTGTAAGTCAGTGACCTTACATCATCGTTCCTAATTAAGTAGACCTACTTTACTTATACCCTTGTTTACAACAAAGTCACAAAGTACACAAGTACAAATCTTGACTTTTGATTATTGACCTACACTATAATGCCAGCATCTCTACACATAGCCACAAACTAACAGTATTTCAAAGGAATGAAATTTATAATACTTTAGTAATACATTATCAACAAACATATAAAGTTACCATATGGGCCTAGCTGTCACTTGTAACAAAGGTATAAATTTACCATATGGGCCTAGCTGTCAATGGTAACAAAGGTATAAAGTTACCATATGGGCCTAGCTGTCACTTGTAACAAAGGTATAAATTTACCATATGGGCCTAGCTGTCACTGGTAACAAAGGTATAAAGTTACCATATGGGCCTAGCTGTCACTGGTAACAAAGGTATAAAGTTACCATATGGGCCTAGCTGTCACTTGTAACAAAGGTATAAAGTTACCATATGGGCCTAGCTGTCACTGGTAACAAAGGTATAAAATTACCATATAAGTTACCATATTGGCCTAGTTCACTGGTAACAAAGGTATAAAGTTACTATATGGGCCTAGCTGTCACTTGTAACAAAGGTATAAAGTTATCATATGGGCCTAGCTGTCACTGGTAACAAAGGTATAAAGTTACCATATGGGCCTAGCTGTCACTGGTAACAAAGGTATAAAGTTACCATATGGGCCTAGCTGTCACTTGTAACAAAGGTATAAAGTTATCATATGGGCCTAGCTGTCACTGGTAACAAAGGTATAAAGTTACCATATGGGCCTAGCTGTCACTAGTAACAAAGGTATAAAGTTACCATATTGGCCTAGCTATCACTGGTAACAAAGGTATAAAGTTACTATATGGGCCTAGCTGTCACTTGTAACAAAGGTATAAAGTTACCATATGGGCCTAGCTGTCACTGGTAACAAAGGTATGAAGTTATCACAATGCTAACAAAGATTTAAAGTGATACTGTTGTATCACAATGATAAATTTTGAATAAAAGACAGGAAGGAATAAAAATTGAAAAAAAAACAACTAAAAAGTTGCATTGTTAATGGTAAATTCTACTGAGCTGCAATTCTTTTTATTCTAATATGGCGATATGTGTCTTACTACATACAAAGTGTAATATATGACCGGCAAAATATTAGCACTCGGGATACATGGGCATGAGGAAGATAGTAGGTTATCAATGGAAAAATGTAAAGTTCCTGAAACCTCCAAAATCTTGATCTGCTCACTAGGCAGCCAAGTTTTCTCTAGTTTGATACTATACTAAGCTTTTTTCTCTAAATGGCTTCAAGCAGAATCTTTTCGACATGACATGGTCACATAATGCACCACCCTTGTTTTTCACGCAACTCGCCTTTCACCTAGCCGACGTGGGTTTGATTCCCGGAATGGACGTGAAAAGGTAAGGGGTCACCTGCCCGACCACATGGGTTTTCCCCTGGTACTCCGGTTTCCTCCCACAATAAGACCCCTCGCGTGCTTACATCCAGGCCAACAAGAGTGATTAGTATAAGTTGACTTAACTTGTTTCGCAATTGTTGTAAAATAAATAAAGTTTATATATATATATATATAGTTTGAAGGGATAAGAAACTGGACTTCGAGGTCTTCTTTAGCCACAGTTTTAATGTTTGTTCAATGAGTCATGAAGTCATCCAAGTCTCCTCTTCTTACTGTTGTTATCTAATCTTATCTCCCTACATACCCTATTTACTTCTATGCAGTAGTTAGTATGAACATCACACTCACTCACCTGACCAGTGTCATTTTGTCAACCAGTGTGAAGTGAATCATTTATATAATGAAAATAAAACTAATAAATTCAAGTGACATGTAAAAAAAACATTACTAAGCTTTTAGATGTCATCTATTTAAAAATAATTTTTGTCACATTCTGGGCTGAGAGTGGTATATATCATTAAGGGTGATATTTCAGCTGTATATATCTTATTCATTCATTTGACTTTATAAATAGCTGAAGTTAAGGGAAATTATTTGTCACAAAAGTTAGCACAATCAATTTTAAAATCATATATCTAGCTTTCTACTTCTGTTTATTTTGAAAAGATAAGTTGCAAGTGTGTACGTCTGGAGAAAAATATAAACACTGCAGCAAAGCAAAATAAAGCATGGCGAGTTTACTCGAATTTCTTTGCATTACATTACAATGCGATAATGTTATTTCTTTATCCCTCTGTGTTATGTCCCTGACTGCGGATTAATAGTACTAGCTCGACACCAGTTATCTGTCCATCAAAATTTTCTTCCGTCTGGTGTAAATTGAAGCCAGCAAAAACTCAGGTTATCCCCAATCTTATTGGAGTATTATTGATAGATAATTACATAAATATATAGATAATTACTAGATTTTGATATCAAGAGCCAATATCATACGTGTATGTAAACAAACGGTCTTGTGAGGTAAATGAGTCAAATGACAGCAGGACGAAATAAATACCTTCACTTTCACGCGGATGACTTCCCGCTGTTCGATCCCGTAGAACCCCGCCATGCTTCAATATAACCTTATTGTTTTCAGATTTGGAGATAACTACATGGCACGGGCGTTTTCGGTCTACAAGTTCTAAAATCCATGTCGGTCCGTCCGGTCGATTATCCAGTTTTTCGCCGAACGTCATCAACAGGAAGTTTCGTCTTGCAAAACAGGAAGTGATTTGGGTTTTTCCATTTTCTAAAATGGGGGTCACACTTGTGATTTGCATTTTCATAGTGTCTAAACTTGCTTTAATTTTTGAATTGTAAATACACCAACTAGCAAAGTAAGAAATATTATTCATATTTAACAAACGTTGTCTATATTTGTTTTTTTTTAAATTCGAACATTGTTACTAAATTGTTACCTGTTTCCCCTACTAGAATGTTAAAATATATTATAAACAATAACACGTGGGTGCTGTATGATAATAAGGCATTCAAAGAGGCCCAAGATTATGATTAAGACCATTAGTTCCAAAAATAGCATATGTAAGACTTTGTTTTTGTTTATCTTTTGATTGATCAAATCTCCGTATGATTCTTTTTAAATTATATGTCTCTGTTCCATGAAAATGTTTTTTTTTAATGTCTACATGGGAATAACACATCAATTAAAACAGGGAAGTGTTATACGTCCCTGACTAAACGTCCTGGAGGGAAATTATAATATTCTTAAAGATCTATGGTGTGATAATGATATCTTTTACTTGTATATGTAATTCACTTTAAATTACATTTGATTTTTTTTAAAGTTATATGATCCAATAAAAACTTTTGTGCGTTTATTTTGTATGATTTGAAATATATACACACAGATACAATGGTATTCTGTGCAAACCAATTCACGTTAAGAACACGATATAAATGCACCAAGCATTAATATAATACTTCATTATTCATTAAACTTTTGAAAACAAACGTGCAATCAATACATAATTTAATGTCTTCTAAGTTTGACTAAATATTGTCTATTAATTTTGTACATTATTTATATATATGTTAACTATTATGTAATCAAGTATATATGTACTGAATGTTTTGTTTAAACGTTTCATGCAAATTCCTTTGTACTCTTCATGTGTGAGGCAACAAAGAGAATAAAGATATGTTATCTTTATGGATGTGAACAAGCTAAAGCCGGGACGTATTATACAGTGGGATAAGAAACAAAGTCAAATGCTTACTTCTATGGTATTAGCTTTTGTGTTTGTGCCCTGAGCCGTGAAATACCATTTCCACCATGCATGTTGTTGACTAACATTATCTACCTATGTCCAGTTTACTTCCACTATACTTGGGCCGACTTGATCGCCGCCATTTTTTGGCCAGTGAGAAGTGAATCTCATTTTCCTAACAAAAACAATACAACTAAATTAAAGTCAACACAAAACCAACAGGAGTCAGTTGGAAAAAGCTTTTAAATCTTATCTATTTAAAAAAAATCATGATCTTGGCTGAAAGTGATGTAGATAGCTTAAACTGACACTTGAATTCGGCCCCTCTTTTTCTGCATTTTTTAATTTTTTTTTACAGTAAAAGTTGGGAAAAGGCTTATTGAATCTGACCATGTCACGATCCGATTATTGGAAACTCTTCTCTGATTTATTTATTATTCTCAATATTTCATAGTTCAGAAGAAATGATAATTTATTATAAAACACTTTATGCCGACATTTTCAAGAGTATTCAAGAACACGCCCGAACTGTCAAAGAAGTCGATTCTGACTTGTAGCAGGGACGTATAATATATACATATTTTTTTTAGTACACGTCCCTTTCAGGGGCGTAGCTAGCCCACCAGAAATGTGTAAGCCCAGACGATGATAAAAAAAATTATCTATATAAGATTCAAAATTAATTCCCAATTCCATCATTCATTAATAGGTTCTGACACTTAACTGATATTGTTAGAAATCAATCATGGCTAATGCTCAGTTAGGTTTTAAGTTCATCCAGAAAAGAAAAGGGGATAACAACTTAGCATGTAACGGTCATTTATACAGAATTAGGTCTTCTCGCAGAGAAAGGTAAATGATTATGTAAATGGTTATGCATAGATTTATTATTTATCAATTTGACAGAGTAAGAAGTTGATTCAATTTTTAGAAGGACATGTGCATGTATACATGTACTTTCTGTCTGCAATACTGAAGTATTAAGAGACAAAATATCAATAGCTAATTGTTAATTTATAATGATACATCTGTAATATCTAAAAATTACAGGTAGATCCACAGGTAAAATATCTCGGGTAAATGCAGTACCTATATGAAACAGATAGGTGTAGCTGCCGGACATCACATAAACATGCACAAGATATATGTTTACAAAATTAGTAAAGAGAGTATCTCGCTAATTCTGGTTCTCTTTAGTCAAATAATCTGCGACTGCATCCTCACAAGTACCAAAGCGGGAGGGGTAACCACATATTAGTAAAAGTTTTTAAACTACTGTTCAAATTTGAATATTTGGGAAAAGACTAGATGACTGAAGGAGCGATTTCAACATGCAGTTTTTTTAATCTACCAAACTCCGGGAAACAGTTTAGACGAGATTTCCCGTCATCTGGTCCTTTACAAAGAAGACTATATTTTATAATGCATTTCCAACGGAATTTAGAAGAAAATTTATCAGACTTGCGATATATATTGCGATATATGGTATAAGCGGGAAACACGACTTGGTCTAACACAGTCATGTCACAAAGTATGCTAGTCAATGGACAATTTAATAACGACATGTTTCATAGGTTGAAAGTTTAAGAACACTGGCTGATGAACTATACAGGCTTATCAATACATGATTGAAACACTGTTTGACGCAACCACAAGGACTTGACACGAACTCTCGATTCTCAACACACGGATGGTCCATGGGTTGGGAATGCGTGCCTAGTCCCCGAGGTCGAATCTCGTTTTATTACAGACTTGGTTGGTTAACGAGTTTTTCGTTTCCATGACACCTCCCGTGTCCGGTTATTGTCTGACCAACGGACATCACTGCTGTGTCGAGGGCGGGCGTGTGTTTTTTTGTTTTTTTTTTTTTTTTGGGGGGGGGGGGGGGGGGGGGGGGGGGTGATCTTCATCCTTTTCATAGGGGTGAACCGTCTGTAGCATGTTTGTTTGACTATGTCAATTTTTTATGACGGCTCCGGGGTCTAATGATGCCTTATCCTAACTGTAGCAGTTGGAAACATCTGACTGATATAGTCGTGTAGTATATAAGTAATACACATGTACTGCCACTGGCCAATGGTTGTACTACTAATTATTACATAATTGATAAATATGATGGTTTGTCGCCATGATTACCACAGCTGCAGGCAAAAATGAGCAGAATTGTGATGTGCAAATAAATGTAGCGGAAATGTCTCATGAAAGGATTATTGAAAGACCGACAGACGAGATGAATTTAGATAATTGGACGGGTCAGTGTGATTTTAGTCTATATAAGGATATGATTTAGTTCTTACAGGTTATTTACACTGACCTTAGATCTATAAGACAAGCGACGGACAGGTAGATGTAATCATGTAGTTCATTACCTGGGGGTTAATGGAAGGAAACATATGATTGCTGTGATTTACCATCCTTCGGGGGATCGTCCGTCATAACAAATCTACCAATATTTAATTGTAAAAGCGAGGTAGAGGTAGGCGCATTTGCAAATAGGGATGACGTCAATAGCTAAATATAAAAGTGGGGTAGAATGGGGCTGATTTACATATAGGGATGACGTCAATAGCTAAATATAAAAGTGGGACAAACGAGATAATCTTACTACTACGATTACCTACAAATGCACTAGTGTGGTGTTTGTGGGTATAACAATGAGAGGAGATCAAACGTGTCTTCAGACCTTTTCACAGACATTTTATTAGCAACTTTTTAATCTCCTTCCTGGAGAGTTCAATAAACACACTAGAGTTAACTCCCCTGTATTGTATTTTATATATATATATATAACACTAGAAAAAATTGTCTGAATTATTCTGATGTTCCAGACCGATATAAAAAAAGTCGACAGAGCGCCAGAATAATTAGGACAATAGATTAACGGGATGTGAACTCAGACATTTGCATTTTACAAGTTTGTACGTCCGAATTTTTTTAAGCTACAAAGTTCTTTAATGTTATGTACACGAGTAATTGTATAAATTTGAAAACTCTATCTTTCAAAAGAAGTACGATTTTACATATTTACGCATATTGATGGGACGAGATTATGAAACTGATAATTTCTTTTGATTCTTTCAACAAATTCAGTTATACACATTCCAAACGGAACATCTTTAATTTGTAATTGTTTTTATATAGAGGTATCCAGAATCAATCTTATTTACGTTTTAATATAGATAATATGCGTCCAGAATTCATTTGCAGATCCGTGCCCAGTTCGCGTTCTGATGTTTGGCCTGATCCTCACTCCAGGATTCCCATCCGCAATTTTGGGACATATATACATGGACTATGGAACTGTTCAACGCTGTCCTCCAGATCATATTTAGCTGTTAAATGTAGCCTGCTCAGTGTCATTTACATATACATTGTTTAAAAAAAGTCTGTTTTCTGATGAATATCCCTGTTCCTCCAATACACTACCAAGGCTACCAAGTTTTATATATGGACTCTTGGACAGAGGGTTATAAACCGATATTTCAGAATAAAACTCAATTACGATAACTTGTTCTTAATATGTTTATGTCACGGTCTGGACAACACTGGACATATAAGAGATTTGGAAATCTTTTATTCTTCACATGACCTTTCATTCTTCACTTGACCTTTCATTCTTCACATGACCTTTCATTCTTCACATGACCTTTCATTCTTCACATGACCTTTCATTCTTCACATGACCTTTCATTCTTCACATGACCTTTCATTCTTCACTTGACCTTTCATTCTTCACATGACATTTCATTCTTCTCATCACCTTTTCTAGGAGACAGTTTCTCTGATATTTAAATGTTTGACATCCCGTTGGTGTCCATCAACAACACTTGTTATCAATATTTTTGAAAAGTATACTTGATGGATCCTTCATAGATTTCATGTGTAGGTTTTATATGGTCCCTAGTAGTTCATTAGTAGAAAAATGAAATGACTGTC